GATATTGATATCTGATAGTAACATCGGCATTATGCCAGATTTACCAATATTTCATTTTATTTATTTTTTTATCCGATTACTCGATTAATCGTAAGAATAATCGATAGATTACTCGATTACTAAAATATTCGTTTACAACAGCCCTACTTTAATATATCAAGATCTGGGCTTTGAGTAGGCTTAGATCATTTCTAAATTCTCAGGCAGTCCTTGGTGGTTTACTACAGCGCCTATAAAAAAATATTCATCATCTTGAATGTTTTGCTGCTTTTATGACAAAAAAACCCCCCTGCAATGTAAAAACAACAACAAAAAACAAACAGATTTCTACAAAATGAAGACAAATAATAAAAAATATTTAACATGTATTAAGTAACTGAATAAATATTCACAACATTTAAAGTGACTCAGCCAATTAGTGTTAGTAGTATCACCATTTAATGATCTAATGGCGTGCAGAAACAAAACATCTCATGTTCTAGATAAAGATATCTTCCCACTAACAGATGAAGTCTGCAGGAATACTCTGGCAGGTATCGATTCTGTATAGACCGGATGAGCCTGAACTCCATTTGTGCTCCTTCATCCATTAATTCATGATCGGACTGAGACAGACTCAGTGACGGCAGCGAGACGGATGACGTTGGACATGGAGAGAGGGAGCATCAGAGAGAGCTGGAACAGGAAAAGGACGACGGATTTGTGTGTGGAGGAGAGAGCTGTGATGGCCGCCAGCCAGAGTGATCAGAGTGTAAAGTTACAGGAAGGAAGAAGGTAAAAGCAGTAAAAACGGATGCGACAATACCTCGGTCTCCATTCACTGCAACAACCCCCCCCCCCCCCCCCCAATAGCTCTTTTCAGTCAGTCATCTGAAAATAGAAAGAAGACGACACAACTGCTAACGTACCAAAACATGGCCGTCCGCCTAAACCGACAGGCCAGGAGAGGAAAGTTTTAATCAGAGAGCAGGTAAGACGATGACACTGAACTCCAGAGGTAGAATGGTAGAATACTTCACAGATCTTTATGAAGGAGTCATGAAAATAAAGCTGTAGTAGAATGAAACCCATAAGAAGGCAAAAAGCCACGATGGGGACACAGAAACAATAGTTGGACTTTTTCCAGATCCTGAGATTTGAGACCAATATGGCTGCTGTTTGCTTAAAATTCAGTGCATTAGCAAACGGGTTATTTGAACGTCTGTCAGTTTTTGTCTCATTATTGGGACTTGCCATAGCAATGCATAGGCAGGCACCTATTGTTCTACACCTCAGAATAAGTGCCTCTTCCTGGTACCGTTAATGCGGCTCATACCGCTTCGTGCGCCTTCACAATATCAAGACGTGCGGCTCGATACTGTGAGGAGAGCTATTACTTTTTTTGGTATTTCGAGTAACATAATTAACAAAAAACAGGCCAAATTCAACTCGAAAAGTAACAGTTACTAGTCCTTTTGTGTTTTATTTACCGTTTTCATAGCAACTGAACTAACGGGCGGCGAGAGGAAAAAGAGCGGCGGCGGTTCTAGTTAGCTAAACATATTGTACAGGAGCTGTTGCGATCTGTTTTTATGCACCCCCCCCCCCCAAAGAAAAAAAAAAAAACTGGGCGAACAAC